TTTAGTTTAGTTTACTTTATTGCCATTGCACCTTGTAAAGTGAATCTAAATGCTTTCAGTGTACATAAAGAAAAATAAAATAGAATACATTCATCAAAAATCATAAGATACAACACTTACTGAAAGTCATAGGTTACTAATAAGCAATCAAATTATACTAGGAAACAAACAAAACAATATAAATTGTAAAAATACAAGCAAATGGTTATAGTCATAAGTGGGAAGAGATAGGTACTAGGAAGGAAGAGAAGAAGAATAGTAATATAGTCTTAGTAGGTAATATGACAGTTTTGTGGGAATTAGTTGTTTAGCAGAGTGATGGCATTCGTGGAAAAACTGTCCTTGTGTCTAGTTGTTCTGGTGTGCAATCCCCTATAGCATCATTTTGAAGGTAGAAGTTGAAACAATTTGTGTCCAGGATGTGAAGGGTCTGTAGATATTTTCATAGCCCTCTTTTTGACTCGTGCAGTATACAGGTCTTCTAAAAAGCTACCCATCTAGAGAGAATTAAGTGAATTTGGTTTCCCCATTGATTTTGCTTGTCAGAAGGTCGCAAAAGGTGATCACATGACCCTGGGATACTGCAACCGTCATAAATATGAGTCAGTTACCAAGCATATGAATTTTGATCACATGACTATGGGGGTGCAGCAACAGTTGTAAGTGTGAAAAATATTATGAGTAACTTTTTAGTGTAACTGAACGGTCACTAAATGAACTGTTTTAAGTCGAGGACTTACCTGTATTAGCTTTTCTCCCATGGGCATAGAGAAAGAAATTGAATCAGTTAGCTTCCCATCCAATTTACCAGTTTCTTTCTCAAGCCATAGAGAAAAATCTTCAATCATTGCTTCCTTGAGCTGCAAACAAATTTTCAAAAGCCACCTTTATGTTGTCCCAAAAAGGAATTTATCAATCCTTCCACTCCCCATCATTCAGTCAGAACTGAAGAATTTTTGGATAAGAAGCGAAACATTTTCAAGAAATAAACCAAGAAAATCCAGTTGCCATTTGGAAAAGCACCTTCGGAACAACCATGATCAGGATGACTAAATATCTCCATAGGTGCTTCTTTATGCTGGTTGGGACTTTTTGAATGCCTGATTGCTATGTTAAAGGGAAGGCTGGCAATCAGTAGAGCAATCATCACCATCTCCCTGCCTGCCTGCCTGCCTGCCTGCCTGCCTGCCTGCCTGCCTGCCTGCCTGCCTGCCTGCCTGCCTGCCTGCCTGCCTGCCACAGAATGGTGCCACCCTGAGGTAGCTGAACCTTTGGTTAGCTGACATTTTACAGGACAGCATGCAAAATACACAGGGATTTGAATGAATGGATATATATTTGTAGCCCGTGATTTGGCAATCACTCTTTTTTTCTTCCTCCAATTTTATATACTAGAAAATGGAAGGAGAAATCAAAAGATATGATAAAGAAATATTGTAAATATGTTCAGAAGGCTTTTTTCATTATTGAAATCCTGTTGATCATCCATGGACAAAAAACATAGTTTCATCTACTGTGGTTAGGTGAATTAGCCACTGATGGGTGGACTTATTCAAAGATAAGCTATAATTCACAGTTAGGTTTATGCCAGGTACCCAAACTTCCCCTGTGTGATGCTGCTTTTTAATGGAAAGCTTTTAAAAACGAGTATATACGCAACAGATTGGCTGCACAGTATCTGATAAACATGTCAGTACATGCTCCAAATGACCTCCCCAACTGCTGGAAGTAGTCTAATTATATTTTAAATCTGCTCAATACATTGCTTGTTTTGAATTACTTTTCCATCAAGCCTCATTATGCCTGAAGGATGAAGAAAGCCCACTGCAGCCCATAGTAACTTGTCACCCTTTCCCCAAGCCTGCACCCCTCCCCTAGACTCTCAAATCCTTTTAAGTGAGGTTTCCGCATTCTTTGAAACGGAGATATTCTGCTTGAAAAAGTGTTGAGTTGTCCAGCACAAAGTAGAAGGCCTTCTACAGTATAACTGGAGATTGATTTCCCTGCTAGTGCAAAAACCTGTTGCATTTCGGAGTCCGTTAGGTTAGGTAATTTATTCTTCTCTTTCTACTTCTCCTGTAATTCATGTTTTATGATTCATGTTTCTGTATGTGAAGCTTGTTCTAACGCAAACTTTAAGATAAGGCATTAGCTGGGAGAGGTGTGAAAAATTCTTGCCTAGAGGACTACACATTTTTTTTAAAGAAATGGGACTTGAAAGATGCAATCAAACATCCAGGAATTGACTGTAATATTTATAATAGCAGATTCTTGTTATTTCACAGGCTGCTTCCAAAAACATCCTTGACATCACCTCCATGGCCTGAAATCAAGCTACCAGATCCGGCAGAAGAGGCAGAACATCACAGAGGTAAATAATCTAGACCTTCTCAAAAAACATAAGGTGTGCCACTTCTGTATGTTTCATTTGATATTGTCACTGCCTCCCATTTGTTTCTGCTTTTGATTTAATAAAGACATGGAATCATTAACACAGAATAACAGAACAAGAAACACAAGCAACTCTAGCGTTAGTGAAGTTTTCAAATCAGGGATTTGATACAGTACAGAAAATAGCTAGATTTGTCTTCTAGCTATTGTCGTGGTGTACTCTTTTAGCCAATCAATCACTATTAGGAAACTGTTACGTAGTCAATAGTGTTCCATGCACCTTCGGCATTTAGTTATGCCAGCCACATGACCATGGAGATATCTTCGGATAGCGCTGGCTCTTCAGCTTTGAAATGAAGATGAGCTCTGCCCCCTAGAGTCAGGAAGAACTAGCACATATGCACAAGTGGTACCTTTACCTTTACCTGTATAGTCAATGTTGCCCCTTTAGAGATTCAACCTTATCTCCTATGTTTCATAAACCCAAAGAGAAAGCCCTCACTTTGATTGGTGCTGTGTCCCATTCAAGGACAGGTGAATGAAACTCTATCTTTTTCTAGAGACTTGAACAGTGGCCATGTAATCTCTGGAAATGGTAGGCTTTGAATTTGGGGATCAAAACACCATGCTACACCTTTGTGTTCACCTCTTGAATTTATGTATATTTCTCAGGGCAATGCCAAGAAATAGTGCAGCTTTTGTGAGAAGATGCTCACAAGTCAAGGTGCCTATGGCCCTTCCTGGCTGTAGACCCAAAGCAGTATGCATTTCCTCTTATCTTAAATTTTGCTTTAGAATCATTTTTTTAAGTATAAGAAAACAGTACTATGGATATATAATAGGGCTATTCATCCAAGGCAATTATTCCCCAACACTCATCTCAATACAATATTATTTGTGTAGAGAGCCATGGTGGCCTATAATTTAAAATGTTCTCAACTAGGAATGGGAAGAACCAGGTTTTACATCTTCAACCATAAAAGGGACCGATTACTTCCTCTTAGCCTAAATCAGGGGTCCCCAAACTTGGTAACTTTAAGACTTGTGGACTTCAACTGCTAGAATTCTTCAGCCAGCAAAGCTGGCTGGGAGAATTCTGGGAATTGAAGTCTACAAGTCTTAAAGTTCCCACGTTTGAAGACCCCTGGCCTAAACTATCCCAAGTCTTGTGTGGCCGGAGGGGGGGAAGAGGTTAGGGTCATAATCAGATGAGGGAATAGCCTAGGTACCATCTTGAGCTCCTGAACAAAATGTGGGATATTAATGTAATAAATAAACTTAATTAGTCAATAATTAAGTTTAACTCACCAATTTTCTTCCAGAGCTTGTACAGAATGTGAATGAGTTGATTGCCACTGGGCAATATGGAAGACTGTTTGCAGTTGTTCACTTTGCCAGCAGACAGTGGAAAATAACCAGTGAAGACTTGATTTTAATTGAAAACCACTTACCTGCTGAATGTGGAGACAGAATCAGAATGGAAAAGGTAGGGTTCATGTTAGCAATCATTTTTTTCTCCCTGTGTTAATCCGAAAGATTACTTTGCTATAATCAGCATAACACACATGTCTGCCTCCGCTTCACCATATCATTAGTTACCTGTTAGCATCTCCCACAAGAGCGCATGTCCTGTGACAGGAGAGTAAATACTGTATTAGAAGCAAGGAGACAGAGCTAAAAACATTAAACAATGACTTCTGGGAGCTATTTGTGAGAACATAAACATGTTTTTTCTGCTGATGGCTAGAGAGAAAAAGATGATCAGGAACCCTTTTAAGATTCAAATGGCATTCCAAGAAGAAAAAGAATTAAGTGGTAAATGATGAGCTGTGGAAGAAAGGTTGCTAATAGACCTGTGGGTGTTGTTCAAAGGCAAGATAGGAGTGGAGAAGTATTAATAGCCACCTTATCTGTTTCCACTAATCCAGGCTTTTATCTAAGTTTCCACTTCTTTATACTCAAGTTAAATAATGCATAAGGTGTACCTCAGTTTCCCCAAGGTTAGAATTTCTGTGCCTCTTACTCTATTATTCCAATTTGCTTCTCTTACTTTGTCCTTTTCTTACTAGTGCAAATTCCTTTAGCTCCTGCCTAAACTCTCAATCAGCCAGTGCAGTGTTGTGTGCCCTTTGGTATAAGATTCTTGCCTATGCCCCTTGTAGTGCTACAGATCCCTATTGGCAACAATTAGATCCTCTGTTAAGATCTCTTTTAGATCCTTCTTTTTTTGTGACTGCCATGCTATCACCAACCCCATCAATGTTTTCAAGGTTTTGGAGCCTCTAACTCTTCCCCCTTTACCCATACATGTAGTCCTTGGGTAGCAACCTCAATTGGGGACTGGCAATTTGGTCATTAAGTGAAGCAGTCACTAAGTGAAATCATGATTGTACTTTTGATCTTGCTTCACCTTTCCTTTGCTTTACAGACCTGGGGAGGCTTTAAATGTGAGGATTGTTGGGAAAATCATCTTTTCCTCACTGTCATGATTGAACAGCCATTAAATGAGGCAGTTGCTAAAGAGGACCATCTGTACTACTTGCCACACAGTTTTCAGCCCCATCCACTTTGCCTCTTTAAGGTGACTCACAATGTCAGACCCTGTGAGTTTGTCATGTTGCCTCTGTGCCTTGTCCCAGGTCATCACATGGTTGAGACCTCAGTTTAAGTGGCTTTCTCCAGGAATGTAAATGATTTCAAATCATGCTACCCAGGTTTCAGCATCTTCCTCTGACCAATCAACACACCCAACACACAAAACAGGCTGTAACAGCTCTTATCATAATTGGGTGTCAAACTTGCTGCGTCATGTTGCCGTTACATGATGTTTCACAACGTTTTTCCCATTTTTGGAGCTGGAGTGGGTGTGGCTGATGCATGATGCATCCAGCCCGCAAGCTGCCAGTTGGACGCCCCTGTAGTAGACAAAGTATTGTCTTCAGTCTGAGAACTTTCTCAACACTATGGCACCTTCTAAAAAGTGAACATCTGACTTCATTCACACAACTAATTCTGACTTCCTCCATTAAATTGTTGGGGTTGGAGGAAAAAATACTTTGAATAACTTACTTCTCTTTGTTAGCTTATGTGGTCATTTCACTTTTTCAATTGATGTCTGCATGTCCCCTTGGCACTATAAAATATACTTACTTTGTTTTGAGTTGAACCTGCTGCCCTCTGAGTACTTTGGAAAACCCCTCACATCAACCCCAGCCATGTTTTGTAGGAGCTACAATCTCAGTTACTATTTGCCTAATTCAAACCAAACTAATCACTATCATCCTTTAGACAGGGCTTCAATGCATGAGATCTTTCTAAAGTGATTTATTCTGCTCCTACCCAGACATGTTTTAATTATGCATTACCATATACATCTGCTCTGATTTGTAAACATAATTCTGATGCATAGTTCAATGCCCAACTAATCCACTTAACAATAAAACAGCCTGGATAATTGAAGATTCATATAAGATAATACAAGATGCCACTGTGATGAACTGTGCTGTCTTGTATTCTGATTAAATATTACAATTTGGAATAATTTAGCAATGGAAAGAACTTTTCCTCTGTTCTGCTCCTTTAATTTTCATTATCCCTAGATATTTATGCATCATTTAACCCAGTAACATAACAGGTGTGAAATAGAAAGAAATCTTGTGAGAAACTATCATGGGAGCTTGAAGTTTTGCTGGCTGGTTAGTGAAATGAACAAAAAGGTTGCACCAACATTTCACAATTTGTCATTCTTCCGGTATGTTGGGATTATAATTCCCAGAATTCTCAGACAACATGGCAAAATACATGATTTTCTTCCTAGTATTTTCCTGCAAGTGCGAGGTCTGCTTTTTTTTCAAATCAACCAAGTATTGATCCATTAATTACAAGAAGAAATGACCAGCCAGCTTATCTCCCAAGCCTGACATAATGGGCTGAGAGAGAGTAACTGGCCCAAAGTCACCTAGTCAATTCTTGTGTCTAAGGTGGGACTAGAAATTACCATATTCTTATGGTATTTTTAGCCTTGTGCCTTAACCACTAGACCAGTGATGGCAAATCTTTTTGGCACTGAGTGCCGAAAAGGGAGTGCATGTGCGCTTATTTGGGCTGCAACTCGGAAGAGGAGCTGCCCAAGGGGCATGCACGTGCCAGAAAATGAATTTCTAGTTTCCAGGACGCCCATGCATGGCAGCCAGCTAGTCTTCCGGTTATTGGCATGCATGCACACACAATTATCAGCTGGCCGAAGCGCATGCTAACAGAAGAGAACAGAAGACCAGCTCTTCCTGTTTCTGGCACTGCTGCATACATGAAGGTCAGCTGATCATTGCGCACACATGTGTGCCAGAAATTTGAAAGTGGAACAGGTGATGGCATGCATGCCAGGCAACATGGCTCCGTGTGCCACTTCAGGCACACATGCCATAGGTTCGTCATCACAGCACTAGACCATGATATTCATGGTCCCATCAGGAAGCTCTCTGTCTAATTTCCTTCAGATTGATTCTGAGGTGTCAGAACCCCAGGAACAAATAGGTATCCACCTTCTTCTTTCTTATCAAAATGTGTGGTTGTCACTACAGCACTGAAAGAAGTCATGTCATGCATGAAAACAGTGAAGTTTGCTATCACTCATTGTCTTCTCTTGGATGTTCCAGAGATGTGGGGGAAATAACACAATTTTTGTCCTCAACAGTATTTATTTGGCAATCCCCTATTTCATTCTGGTCATTCAACTACCAGAGTGAGAAAACCAAAGTGCAGATTTAAGGGTGCATCTTCCATGATTGCCTTGGTAACGTTCTGACATATTTTGTAATATGATGATTAACATGCATTATTTACTTCTGTTCCAGGTACTGTTGGTGGGGGCTGATAACTTCACACTGCTGGGAAAGCCTCTCCTGGGGTAAGGCATGCTTTGCGGTCATTCAGTCATGTTGAATCTTTTCAGAATCATGTGCACTGGGCTGAAAAGGAGTTTGAAAGGCTTTAGAAAGGATTTTACCAAGCACTCAAAAGCAGCTGAGGAAAGATGTGTGCAGAAATGAGGGGAATTGCCTTAGTAACTCCATTGTATTTAAACCATCTTTAAAAAAGCAAGTTGAAATAGTAGAGAGTTGCAGTTAGAATCCAAGAGGAAAAGAAAAGAAGGAACTTAAGTATTCAAGTATCTGGGGGCTTCTTATCAAAACAAACTGTCTATAAAAAGCTACGAATTCTCTTTACCAGGGAGAATCAAATCCCATGTTTCCTATTTTTCTGTTCCTTTCAAACTCTGAGGTAAAACACTGAGTTAAAAGAACCATTGAAAGCAAAATCCATTATGGACTGATATATGCACATCATTTCAGTTTTGTGGGCAGGAAACAAAAAAAATCTTCATTTTAGAATTTTGCTTTAAAAAGCTCATTAAAAATGTGGTGTCTGTTGACTTAGTATACTGAACATAATCTAATTCATCGTCTTTCCTTGTTCTGAAACATGCCTTCATGACCAGCAATCATCCACTTTCTTTTAATTTCCTGGAGAAATGAGTTCCCTTCTAAAATCATAAATGTATATTTCAAAATGTTGTTGTAGTCTGCTGTTTCCTTTGATATTATTTCTATATATGCTTTGTTTTATTGTTTGTTTTGTAAGCTACCTTGAAAAAGTTCTTTGAGAAAATAGATATGCAGTAAATAAATAGTAATTGTTTTAGAAATGGTTCTATTGCCATTGCTTACTTTTTCAAAGGAAATATCTATTTATTAGGAAGTAAGCAGGCTTTTTTAATATCTCAATTTGTTATAAAGAAAGGACCTAGTCCGTGTGGAGGCCACTATTATAGAGAAGACTGAGTCTTGGCCAAGAGTTAATGTGAAGTTCCGTCGAAGGAAGAGTTATGAGACGAGAAAAAGTAAGATGAAAAACATACATTATTTTTTTAATCTAAACCCCTACTAAGCCAAATAATTGCTGTAATGATGGAAGAAACTATATATAAAATGGGGGGAAATGAATTTGAGTTTCAAGAACTACAACACAAATATCTCCCTTTCTCTCTTTTTTGCCATTTTTAAAAGAAAAAATGTTTTTATTTGGGTCTATGATATTGTAGCAACATTGCAGATATAGCTTGCTGTTGCCTCCTTTCAGCTTTTTTTTCATTGATTTATTTTGATTTATTGTATTTATTGAGAAAATGTATATGGCTGCCCCATTCACAGTAATTCCAGAAAGCTTACAGAATTGGAATAAACTCTCAATTCCCATTGAGCCCATCAGATCACTTGATGGGCTCCATAACACCTGGGGTCCCCAGGCATGCTGGTAAACCCATGTCTTCAGGGCCTTTCAAAAGAGTATCAAAGTGGGGACCAATCTTATCTCTGCAGGGATGATGTTCCACTGGGGGAGGGGGGAAGCAATAGCAATAGCAATAGCAGTAGACTTATATACCGCTTCATAGGCCTTTCAGGCCTCTCTAAGCGGTTTACAGAGAGTCAGCATATTGCCCCCAACAATCTGGGTCCTCATTTTACCCACCTCGGAAGGATGGAAGGCTGAGTCAACCCTGAGCCGGTGAGATTTGAACCGCTGACCTGCTGATCTAGCAGTAGCCTGCAGTGCTGCATTTAACCACTGCGCCACCTTGGCTCTACCACCAAGAAGGCTCTTAATGGAAGGAACCCATAACATATCCTGCCTCCCCACTCTTGTGAGTTAGGCAGATGTACCTGTGAAAGATAGTCCTTCAGACAACTTCCTAGTAGTCTCCTATTCAAAAATTAAGTTTAGCCCTACATAGATATAAAGAAATCAGCCAATGTTGCATAGTTGCTGTTAGCTTGTTGGACTTTTAGCATAATACCCTTTAACTGTACCTGATTTAGAGTTCACTGAATTTAAATTTTTTTAAAGCAAGGCAGTTCCTTTCCGATAGCTCCAAATCTTGCATGTGATTCCATACATGTTAACAAGATAAAATAATGTATTTTAACAAATACATTTAACAATGTATTCTTCCAAAGTGATGGTTTATTTCTCAGTGCCACAAACAAGCAACCTTTAAGATGTATATTCTGTGATCAGTCATGGAAATATTTAGCTCTTTTTGACAAATTATTAAGTAATTCACTTGTAAAGCCAAGTCCTGAGTTTAATTCCACCCCCTTTGTTTTTTTCTTCAGTTGTCATTCAGCCGCAAACTGTTCTCCGGATAAATTCCATTGAAATTGCTCCTGTTCTGTCATGATGGATTGTAACATCTCGGGAACATTAAGGAAATAGAAAATGTTCGTGTTGCATATGGTTATTCTCAGTAAACATTTTTTTTAAAAAAAAATTATTATAATCATTATTGTTGCCATCACTAAATATCTTCACTGCCTGTGTACTTCTTATTTTTACATTAAAATATTATAAACAAAACAAAATTTAAAAACTACAATTAAGGCAATATACGGGTGTAATCAGTATTATATACTATTTAATAAAAACTCAATGAATCTGTTATAAAAATTATCAAATGTATTAATACAATTAAGATCATCCAATTAAAATGTTTGTATTTTAAGGTTTCAAACCTATAAGAAAATACTAGCACTAAATTTCCAGGGAGTATTTTTAACAGCTGAGGTTCCATAGCCAGAAAGATTCTCTCTTATTTTGCACTAAGTCTAAGTTTGCACATAAACTAAGGAGTCTACGACAATTCGCCATGGCCAATTCGCTGTGGAACAACTCACTGTGGGACAATTCAACACTGTATTAATAATTTAATTTAGTTACTTTAATATTTGAAACATGTTTTTGTCGAAATTATAGTATTTCTGGCCTGACTTTATTTTATTATTATTGGCCACTGTTCCACTGAAATTAATTTAACTTTTGTATTTGTTGATTTGTCCTGTGACGAGTCCGCCGTGGTGAATTTTCCATGGCAAGTTGGCCACTGTGAGGACACCATTAGGGAGAGAATAGATTACGAAAATCGTGCTGGTAAAGCTTGTTAATTTTTCACTTAAACAAGTCCCATGGATTTTTTTAATGGATCAGCCTATGTCCATGGATTTTTTCTTTTAAAATATTTATATTCATTGATTTTGTATAACTAATAAAGCAATTCATAGGGTTTTTTAAAAAATATGTGAGCCTGCTGACTTAGATTTTAGGTTTGGTTCATACTAAATGCTCATACCTATTGCTCAAAAACTACAGCATGAAGTTGGCTTATCAATGGACCATCGCTAATTTAAATTACAGGCAAATTTTTCATATTCTCTTATTATGCAGGTTTCTCATTGAAGCTGGTTTGCACATTATGTTGCCAATCAAAGGTACAGAAACAGCTGTCACTGGAGCCTTTTAGATGCTAACACTGCTGTAAGAGATGCTATAGAAATTGAATAAACAAACAAACAAAATAAACTTCCTCAGAGACATATAAAGAGTTATACATATGCAGAGAGAATCATAACTCTAGAACTCTGAAAAATATCTGTGAATCTCTTTCAGTCTTAGAATAACTGGACAATAGTAGAATTGGATTTGCACCTTCTGCTTTTGTAAATCTCTGAAATGAGTATTACAATGTAGCAAACACTGTTTTGACAAACATTTGAGGCTTGACACCACAATGATAAATATGCTCTATTCATACTTTTTGTTCCCACAACAGTTTTGGAGGATATCTTTAAAAGACTTGGTTTATTTTTAATTTATTTTTCTAGGATATCATGGGTCCATACTAACTGCAAACAAAAAATGCATTTCAATAATCTGGGTTCTGATAGCCTGCAAATGTCATTGAGTTGCAGGTGGAGTGTGAGTTGCAATCCTGATTAACAACAATGGAAAAAATACTGCAACAATTTATCCTCACGGCATATACTAGCTGGATCAATAATTAATGCTTATTTATAAGACAGAAAAAGTTTTTAACTTTGAGGCATGGCCAGGGTTAGCTTTTTAAAAAGGGCAGTTCATTCCTAATCTCATAATATTGGTGATAATTGATATGAATATTAATATTTAGGCAGTATTTCATATGAGCAGTGTGGTGGCCTAGTACTGAAGATACCTCCCACTCAGAAGGTTGAGAGTTCAGTCCTAGGTGGCAGCAGATGTTTCTCTCCTAGGGTGCAAAGAAAGAATATCTGCTGTGAACTCTGCATGGCGTCAGGAAGGGCATCCAGTCAGTAAAAGCTCAGCTCTATCCAGTTGCCCCAAATCTATCCCAAATTAAGAGATTCCAAGGTTGTATAAAGATATTTTTGTGCAGTGTTCATACTATTTCACTCATTTTAACTATATTAATAAAAATAATCACAAAAATCAATATCCTTACATTACCAGTAGAAGGCTCAGACTACATTAAAGAGTTGCACACTTATTAGGAAACATGTTTAAATCACTACAACTGACTTCTGTGTAAGGCTATTTAGTTCACAAATTAGTACAAAAGGAGGAGGGCTTCCTGAACTACTAGTGAGGCTTTTAATGCCAGCCCTCTTTATCTATCAGCTTATTTTTCTCCATGTCCCATTTTTAGCAATAGCACTTAGATATATACTGCCTTACAGTGTTTACAGCCCTCTCTAAGCAGTTTACAGAGTCTGCCTATTGCCCCCAACAATCTGGGTCCTCATTTTACCCACCACAGAATGATGGAAGGCTGAATCAACCTTGAGCCTGGTGAGATTCAATCTGCCAAATTGCAGGCAGCTGGCAGTCAGCACAAGTAGCCTGCAGTACTGCATTCTAACCACTGGGCCACCATGGCTCTTTACTACACTTCCTTAAACTTACTAAATTGTACTACCAAGCACATGAGATAAAACAGCATCAAGATTACTATATTTACATGGCACCCCAAATGAACTTCTCATTAGGTCCACATCGTAAGAACCTGGGCTGTGGACCAAACAAAGATTACCATGGAATAATGTAGTTGTAGTTGAAATCAAGATTCATAAAAGGTAAGTAAAAGGGTTCCTCAGATTGATTGTTTACATTAATCCTTACTTTATCTGGACTAAAATGGAAAGGTCAATCAGAAAGTTAATCTTGCTTTCTGGTTCTAGACACAAAGATATGCAGCTGTAGAGTGGAACTGTTTGACCCATACATCTCTGCTGCTTGTTGTATTTTTCCCAGCAAGTATGTAGTTGGAAAACAAATGAGATATAATTTAACAACGGGACAGAATCATGACTTCTGGTAACTTATCTTTACCTATGGTCCTTTATAAAAATTCAGTCACTCCAGGATTTTTCTGTGTTCTTTACAATTTAACAGAAAAAACTGAACAGGAAATATTGACTAGCACAAAGGTTTTTGCAATAATATAAAAGTGGAGGATTATTAAATCCCAAGTCAGTCAAAATTTCATATGTTATCTGGGTTACATTCAGTGGCTGAGTCCTTTCATCATAATTAATTCTTAGTTTCTCATGCATAGGTGTCCATAAGAAGCCACAATGAGTGAAATGGTATAATTCACATCATTTCATCAATCATATGATGCTAGGATAGCCCCTCCCCTCTTCTCTATGGATGCCATTATATTGTGTAAACACAGATGGTTTTTTATTAAGATTTCTGAGCATACACAGTACTTGTTTCATTGGTCTGTTATTCGGAAGTGCACTTGTTCCTACTCAGCAGCAAAACTTTATAATCTTTGGATTTGTATTAGAGCAGGAGTGTTCAACTCAAAGCCCGTGATCTGGATCCGGCCTGTGGGATGCTTAGTCTGGCCCGTGGAACCTACCTGGAAACAACAAAGGAGCAGCCCGCACAGTCCTCTCAAGCTCCATTTTTACTGGCAGAGGTTGCAGAAGGCCAAAAAACGAGCATGTCCACCCCAGCCCCCTGAGGTCAAACACAACCCTGATGCAGCCCTCAATGAAATCGAGTTTGACACCCCAGTATTAAAGGATGCAGAAAGATGACACTAGAGAGAGATCCACAAATCACCTTCCATACTATCTACACCATTCTGCATTTGAATTTCAAGTTATGTGTTGAGGAAAGCAATGAAAAGGAAATCTGGCAGACTGCAAGACTGATGAAAATGCAGGGACTCCCTTTGGATTTTTCTAAGAATTTGCCAAAGTCATCAATATTTGACTCAGTTGGATCAGGATGTATTTTGTATTTAATTTCTGCTCGAAGTTGAGTGTACATTTTTAGACAAATTATGGTTTCCATTCAATTGTTATTGAATGTTCTTTTGTGTTAGATTCTTTTGCTTTTGCTATCAAAAATCTGCAAGCAATGAATGTAAGCAAGGGTTAATTAAAAGTTATTCTGCCTCAGAGACTTTTAAGAAAAAAAATATCTGGTTGCTCAGGAGCTTAAGATAATCATAGCTCAAATTAAGGAGAACTGCTTTCTAAGAATAATTATAAGATTTATGGGCAACCTCCAGTCCACAATAATGGATAATAGCATTAATAAGGTATTTAATTATCCGTTCTTTCTGTGTATCATTAAATTATGTGGTGGCAGCTTGTCTCTAGAACTTCTCTTTCCTTAAGCACAGCAGCCACCAAATCTTCCATCCTGAAATAGGCAGGGACATCAGCTAGGTTTTTGAGTGGCTTATTGTCAGATAAGTGGCCCTAAGCTCCTAGCTCAATAGCAATCACACTTTGACTATTTACTGCTCCATAGTACTTGACACTTTGAGAGGTTTGCAGTGTCAGCCTATTGCCCACAAGAATCTGGGTCCTCATTTTATCAACCTCAAATGGATGGAAGGCTGAGTCAACCTTGAGCCAGTCAGGATCGAACTCCTGGCAGTGGACAGAATGATCCTGCAATACTGCATTCTAATCACTGTACCACCACAGCCCTTAAAGCTCCAGCCCTTTCTCTTTTCATCTGCTGCTGCTGAGATGAAGGGTGCTGTAACACAACTGTGGAGAGTAGCAGATTGAAAGGGTTAGGTTGGGTGTCTTATCAGTATGATAACACAGTTTTAACAATTGTAGAGATGTGTGTTGCCAGTTCTGGCTCCTTGGTTTCAGAATACATTTTCCAACTTCACGATTTTAGTGTTTTGGAACAGATGTCCTTTTTGTTTACTTTCCTGTATGCTACAAAACATTTCTGTTTCTTGTGTTAATTGATATTCAATTTACTAAATTGAATAAAAATGTAAACATGCACAGGGTTACCAAAATAGTTCCCAACTATGGAACCAGAACAGAGTTACCCAGGATGCTCTTGCCAACCTTTTTTCCCCATCCATCTTTCTATCAGATTCTATCCACACTTTACACCACAACAACTTTTTCCTATAATTGTTCTGAACCCGCCTTTCAGCCAGATAACATATCAAAAAACTAAAACGAATTAGGATGAACCAAAATATTATTGGGAAAATAAAGCTTGTGTATAAGTCTATCCTGGACCTGGAGCTTTTTATATCTGAATGTTCTGCAAATAGTCTACTAATATACTATGGTCTCTCTTCTAAACCACTATGTATTCTTTTTCTTCCAAGGTAAGAAGTCATGCAGTATACTAATTAGGCAGGGGTGAAATGCTACTGGTTCGGACCAGTTCACCCGAACCAGTAGTAAAAAAAATGCTACTGGTTCACCTGAACTGATAGTAAAAAAAAATGCTACTGGTTTGGGTGAACCAGTTTTTCCAACGATCAGCTGTGACACGTGATTTATATTAGCTAGAAAGCAGGATTTCCTGCTTTATAGGTAATCTAAATCGTGTGGCACAGTGGATTTTCCCCCATCGCTGTTCACTTACCTTTGCAGACGCGCTCGGTAGAAGGCTCTGCCCATCCGCCCGGACATCATCATATCCGTTTTTTAGCCTCTGAGCATGCGCAGAAGGTCTTGTGCATGCCTGGAAGTGGAGTGCGAGTGAAGCTAGTGAGTGCGCAAACATGCACGCACTCTATCACATTGCTACCAAATCAATAGCAAAGGTAAGTGGATTTCACCCCCGTAAGTAGGTATATCTCAGTGCTCAACCTGTTCTTCAGTGTTTCCTTAACATTTCAAGTGAGCAGATGGCCAATTCTGTGCACAAAGCCTGTGCTCTCTAACGAAGGTATAGAGCAGTGGAAAGCCCAACAGTATGTGGGAAAAAATTAGTTTCAAACCCGGAGTGCTAGTTGTACTTATCCATTCATAGTCAAGAAACAAGCTCGCTGCTCCAAACATTCATCAAAGAGAGCTTTGTGTGCAATATAGTGGTCTAGTCTTGAGGTTACAAAGTAAATGACGATCAATAAATCTGGATGTCAGCAGTTCTGAATATTTTCTCTTCAAAAATAGGGAACTAAAATGGCATTATTGACTGCATGCAAGTTTCATGTAACATGTTACGTACTCATCCAAGCCAGTAAATTATGTTCTACCGGGATAAACAGCTACTTCATTTATTCCCAGTGATAAAAGGGCAAGAAGTTCTATTAGCTGAGAAACATAAACTACAAGTGAATTGAAAATGACTAAGTTGTTTGGGTAATTCATACTTATAATAATGATTTAAAATATAGCCCAGGGGTTAGAAGGGCAGGGCACTGGCAGAATTTAAGGGAAAAATACTTAACATGAAACGTTTTTTAAAAAAAACAAAAAACAAAAATACCTTAATCACCTCCAGTAACCCTACAGTTAAACTGGGTGTGGAATTCTGGCTCTTGTTTTTCAAGCATTGAAAAAGGAACAAAATACATGAGTATATGTATACATTGCAATATGGAGGGTTAGTAAATTCTTGGAACAAGCAAGGTTCCATCCAAAAAAAGTTGGGTTCTGCTCAGGGACATCAAACATTTGCAAATGGAGAAAAGATGGACTCAGAAGTAAATGCATTTTTATTAATACTTTACATAAAATTTCATAAACAACAAGATGATAGAGCAGTGGACAGAGTTAAAATATTACTTTATGTCCAAGCACCCAGGACACATTATGGCTTGTTTCAACATATTTATTACACTGTGCGAATGCAGCAATTATGTGTAAATCATGTGCTATGATTTAATATGTGCAAGCCCAAATAATTATGGTTTGTTTAACAAATTGAACTCTGTAATATATGTGAAACATGGTACTATTAGTTCAATTGAGTTTTCATTATTAACTATTACAGTACTAATTTTCTTTTTTTCAAGTTTAATACTTGATTTAAGGAGGGGCAGAAAACCAGGATAAACCAATGATGCAATTAAAAAGAAGGTGTGTTAGAAATACCACCTGTAAGAATATATTGCCATGCCAGCTCTTTATCAAAAGGCTTGACAAAACAGAAAAAGCTCATCTAGCAGTAAAACAAGACTGAACATTGATGGAACGGCAAGTTTTGTTTTAGCTTGACTTAAAGCATCACAAGAAAGCCCTTAGCAAAAGTTACATGATAAACAGCATGTTGAAGATGTGGAACAAGAATAAATTAAATCACCCAAAATAAGCAGCAATTGCAATCATATATGGTCTTGATATTCAGAGGCTTGGATTCTGTTCTGTCAGGAGAAGGGGAGGAGAAAGGGAGAGGGTGAACAGTTAACACAATGTACTTAGATGGAGAGATCTTGCAGCTCTCTTTTCCAAATGGGAATGAAATTGCTGAGCTTTCTAGAAGTGTGGCTAAACCAACTGTCTATTTGCCCTAGGGAGTCGCCTAGCATCTGCCTTCCTGCATTTTAATAGAATTGCTGATGTTTCCCCCCAGAAAAGACTTAAAAGGCAAACTGAGAACCATTGTTTCTCTTGATGGCATCCCTGCGTCTCAGGATCTCAGATGGTCTTTTCATGCCTATTGCTGCAAAGTAACATTCTCACCAATCTGCCAACAGACGTTCATTGGCAGGACTGGAAACATAAAGCAGACAGGCAGTCTCTTTTGGGTTCCCAGGATATGTTAGGTTTTTTTTTTTTAATTTAAGCAAGTATGGTGTGGTCATGAGGTGAGCAATTTTAATGTTCAGGGTCTATAATATTTATTGGGGAAATGATAGGTTGGTGTTTGATGACCTTTTCCACTTTATTACTTTTGTAAATGGGAACAGCATTTTCTGAAAAGTTTCTCCCCCCCCCCGGTTATTTGAGAAGGGAAGTGCCCCCCCTTAAAAAAAACTATATTATGAATGATTTAGAATACACCATTCTGTGTTTCTTACTTTAAAATGATTGTGGGGTAAACTGCCACTGATTTTCATTGTGCCTGGAAATCTGGAGGCATAATTAGAAGGCTATTGAAGTCAACTGTCTTATGTTGGGCATTATTCACCTAGGTACGATTCATGTTTTGAATGGGACTAAAGCACAAATAAATCTGATTCCAATCTCGGGTGATTGGTCCATTTGTACGTGTGAATGTGGCACATTCACAGTTAGCTGAATGGAAGGTCAAGGGCACTGCATATGGGTTTTGAGATCTGTCTTTCAGCCTGTTATAAGGATAGACAACAAAATTTGTGCTTGCTGTTGATTAAACCCTCTATAGAACATCTGCAGAAAATAGCAGGCTACATGCATGGAAAGAACAGGGGAATAGTTGTTAAAGCAAGTGTGATCTCACTACTAAGCGCTGCTGTGTAAACAGTCTATGTTATATGGTTAGAGCCAGGCTCCAAGAAAAAAAGACTATATTGCAAGAAAAGAAGCGGAGGAAAATGCCTCGGAGGTAGAATTATGAAACTCCTGCTTCATTTGTAAGAGTCATGAAGTTATGGTGCCCAGTCAAGCGTGTTTATTCTACTATTTTTGGTAGTGTCTTTTGTAGCTGCCTGCAAGAAATCATATCCAACTCTAACTGCCAGGATGGTAGGAGGGTACCTGAAATGTTTTGCTAATTCTAAGGTTCCTGATCAGGAGGAACATATTATTGATGCAGTAGGGCAATAATAACAATATTAATAATATACACATTGTTAAAAAGTTATAGGCGCTTTGAGTGCCATCCCAAAACAACTGGAGCACCACTTGAACATCATTGGCATTGACAAATTCACCATCAGTCAATTGCAAAAGGTGGCTTTACTCAGAACAGCTTATATCCTGTGAAGAGCCGAGGTGGCGCAGTGGTTAGGGTGCAGTACTGAAGGCCACTACAGCTGACTGTTATCTGCAGTTCAACGGTTCTAATCTCACCGGCTCAAGGTTGACTCAGCCTTCCATCCTTCCGAGGTGGGTGAAATGAGGTCCCAGACTGTGGGGGCGATATGCTGACTCTGTAAACCGCTTAGAGAGGGCTGAAAGCCCTATGAAGCGGTATATAAGTCTAACTGCTATTGCTATTGGTATTGCACCACAAAACCTCAACATCTGCCTAGCTCAGGTCCTTGGGAAGGACTTGATAGGTGGATAAAAATGCCAAATCCAGTCTGAACATCTGACTGTGCGACGAACCATAGTACCAGCTATGGAGTTGCATCCACAGTACACATCATCAGAAGAAAAAAGTATTAGGAAATGTAGCTTGGCATTCATAAGCTAGTGATATAAAAGGAAATGGATCCTTATAATAGTTTTCAACCAAGGTGGATGAAATTGTCAGTAATAGTTTTTTTTCTTTTAAAAAACAGCCAATTTACAATCTATTTTGATGGGACCTCATAAATTGTAATCCCAAACCACACAAATATTTGATTTGATGACCCAACTGTAGTGACCTCTGAGTAAGTGGAAACAGAATTCCTCATTAGGCATAATGCAACCTATTTTTAGTTTATCATGTAGTTAGTTATCTTTTCATACAGATTTTTGATAAGATGGCATCTGTTATCTTTCTCTTTAGAAATTAATTTCTGATTTTGCCCATTGGGCTCTTAGGAGAGCTTAACAAATTGCCAGAAAAAGGAAAGATATTTTTTTGTATTTTTTTAAAAATGATGTATTACCAATACATGATTAGCACATAAATTAGGGTTATTAGAACAGATTGGCATTCCCCTCAACTAATTTAGGAATGGCAGAAAAATGCAATTAAAAATGAACATATGCTTTCTGTCTTCCTCCTGAAACAGAATCAAAACATGTTAGAGAATTGATATGAACAAGAACCGAGTTTTCAGTTTGGGAACTTAGAATATTTGCTATGATACAATGTTTGTCTCTTGATCATTCTTCATCACAGAAAACTCTCAGCTTGTATAATCTATCAAAATGTCTAAGAAACAGAGCTTTGTATTTAGGTCTCTAGTTATTTTAGTTGGATGACAGGATCTAGCAGGCAGGAAAGCTGGACCAAAATTTGTCCAGGGACTTTTTTGTTTAGCAGTAAATCCTGCTGTTTATCAGGGGGTGAAGTCCCATTAGTTTTGTGGGGTAAAAGCTTATCCTTCCTGTTGTAGATTATGAAAGCAGTAAGGCCTTTTTATAGCCAGTGTCTTTTAAGAGTCTTGCAGGCAAAAGGCAGAAGTGCAACTGATCAAAAGACAGCTATTTTGCACACAGAGAAATAATGGGAGAATTTGCCACTGCAGATCAGTGAGCCACGTGTGCACGGATCTGCCAAAACCAAAATCCATGAATAAGCAGAGCAGTTGTCTGATAAAAGCTGGAATATCAGAAATCAGAGTTGGCAACAGTACAAAAACAATTTTTCCATAGCTTTTTTCTGGAGCTTTTGTTAACTTCCCATTAGCTTATATTATTTTTCTGGTGGTTCTCTCATCATATACTAAACTGATCCAATCTAGTTAGCTTTTTCAAAATCATGCAAGTTCAGCTAAGTTTTGTCACCATCTATAAGTTTTATAATTAAAGAGCATCAACAGTTTGGTGAGATACTAAGAAAGTCTAAATTAATTTTCATTAGCCTAGTTCAGGACCTTCTATCAATATGTGAGTCAAACCAAGATGTGTGCAGCATGCTGAAACTGCATTCTCAAAACAGTGAAAGAAACTGTTTGGGGGAAAAATATTCAAAATATATCAAAAGAATGCTTGACCTGAAAAATGTAAGGTATGTATTTTGTCTCTTAACCTGCCATTCCTCCCCAAAAAAGAGAGAGAAGACTGAAAATGTCAATCTCATCATGCAAAGATCTCTGCAAAGATCTATGCACTACATAAGATAAGTTGGTGAACTACATTTAGCTATTTATCACTGGCTTTAAAAGGTAAAGGTTCCCCTCACGCATATGTGCTAGTTGTTCCTGACTCTAGGGGCCGGTGCTCATCTCTCTTACAAAGCCGAAAATCAGCACTGTCCGAAGACATCTCCGTGGTCATGTGACTGGCATGACTAAATGCCGAAATTGCACAGAATGCTGTTACCTTCCCACCAAAGGTGGTTCCTATTTTTCTACTTGCATTTTTACTTGCTTTCGAACTGCTAGGTTGACAGAAGCTGGGACAAGTAACGGGAGCTCACTCTATTACATGGCACTAGGGATTCGAACCACTGAACTGCCGACCTTTTTGATCGACAAACTCAGCATCTTAGCCAGTGAGCCACCTTGTCCCCTATCATTGGCTTAATGACTTGCAATACTACAGTTTTTAAAATGTTCTGAAATTAGCTACTTGGTTATTTGCTAGCATAATCTCTTGAATTAGCAATTATCACATTGTACTCCTTTTAAAGAGGTTTAAAAGAAACTTGGGTCTTTCATATCTTGAGGCAAGAACACACCAAATTGGTCCTATTAGTTCCTTCACAATTGTCTATTCAGTCTTCACTTGGAAAATGTTGTGGTCCCATTGAATAATATGGAGTTTCTTCATGGGACAGTTGTTTAAACACCCTTGGGAAATAGCCTGGCATTTCCTCTCATCGTTTACATTTTCCACTGCAAGCAATTTGCTCAACATCCAGTGAATTTCCATCTTTTAGAGCATCTGGGTCCCATGCAAAGGAAGGAAGGATTTCTTGAATAGTTGGAGACAATAACCAGCACTATGGAAATGATAAATTGATGATAAATTCATCATCCAGCAAGAAGCAGAATTGTTTTGTTCCAGATTACTTTACTTAGTTGAAATATACAGGATCTCTTTAAAGTTATATGAGATTTTACTCAAATGAATATTTTATATTACAGTAAAGGCAATTAAAATATTCTGTTGAAGCACACAACCAGATAAAGTTGTCTATTTTTTCTCTAGATTTGATCAATGATAGATAGGAATTTGTCCTTTAAAGGATCTCATCCATCCCTGTATTTATGTGCCAGAAGTTGCACCTGATAAATATGCACTTGCCACCCAGCTGTTAAAGACATAGAAAAAGATAATTTCTCAGATTTTATCTACCTAAGCTCTTCATGTTTTACCTTCACCTATAAATAGGCAATGGTGTGTATGTCACAATGGGCAAATTCCCTAGTAATTGTTGGCTGATCTTGAAATCAGCTAAGCAGGGTTGGATTTGATTAGCACTTGAATGAGTGATAAAGAGTCAAACAATTGCATCCTGCATCCAACCTTGAATTTGTTTGAATGAGTCAAACCATTTCAAGTTGGATGCAAGAGTGGGAAATTGTAAAAATCCCAGAAAAAAAATGGCAAAAACGCTCTTACACAAACAATCATACTAATATAATCACCAAGTGTTAAGCATGAGTTCTTGCAATGGTACATGTATACACGTTTATAGATCAAAAGCTCTGATATTCAACTATCACATATGTGTAAGATTTTTTGGGAAGAATGGAAACACTGGTACAATATGGAAGAGAGTGGGCAAACCACTTGGCAGTTTATCACAAAAACAACAAATTAGTGCAGGTGGAGTGAAGTCTGGGAAGAAGCTTTTCAAGGTATTCAAAGAGACGCCACCTTAATGAGCTCATTATAAAGGTGGCCAGGAAATGCCTATCACACTTTTCAAGCTGCATTTATATCCCCCAGCAAATTTACTGAAAACTGTGTTGGCTTACTCCCTTGATTTTTGCCCAGCTGCCTGGGCAAACAATATGAAGACTTAAACAATATGAAGGCTCATAGCATAATGCCTTTCAGATCTCACACGATTGTTGCCTTGGTTGGACATTCTGTAAACTTTAGTCTTCTGGAGAAGATGGTGTGTGTTATTAATTCCAGTTATTAGTAACCACCACAAAAACAACCAATTGTGGAAGATCTGGCAAGCAGATATCATGCAAACCATAAATGATGAGTTAGCGTCTTATACACCCCAACCAAATGTAGTTTATTCAATCAATCATGGCTAAGCCAACCGTAAGAGCAGGGTACGGTACATACTCCCAATCTTTCATTTAAATTGGATAATAGGAGACAGGATGAAATAAGGCATCTCCCCTACTTGACTTGCCGCCCTCCAGAGAAGTGCAATTATAAACTCGGTAGTCATGGCTGCAGTCCCTGTTGTCTCCGACCCTGACAGATTTCAGCTTAGGGTAGAGACTCGAGAGTGTGCGTTTCGATCAGTTCTTGGATGCGCTCGGACCAAAGGTGCTTTTTCAAAAGGCCACTGGACAGGGTTTAGTTTTGTTTTGTTTCGACTGAAGACGTTTCGCTTCTTATCCAAAAAGTTTCATCGGCTCCGATGAAGCTTCTTGGATGAGAAGCGAAACGTCTTCCATCGAGGCCAAAAAGGCAATCCAGTGACTTTTTTTTGGGGGGGGGGGAAACCACCTTTGAGGTAATTGTGTCCACAGACGCTCGAACCCACCGGGAGCGCCTCAGAGCCACGCGGGGCAGCAGCAGCGGCACCAACCTCGCTTTGTGCGGAGTTCATGCCCCCCCCTTAATTAATGCCTAGAGCCCCCACCCCACCCTGAGGCGGCGGCTGAGGACGCAGCTGGTACCAGCTTGCCGTCGCGACTGAGTTTAAGACTTAGCCGAGGCTTGCCCGACGGCCCAGGCTTCCCCCTTTTCTGTGCGCCGCAGCCACTCTCGCGGGCGATGGGCGGGGTCGGCGGCCCCAGAACTGGTTACGCGATCCCAGGAGGAGCCGACGGTTCTGACCAGCCCTCCTGGGCGGAGCTTCACCCCCCCCCCTCACACACACAAACACACACAGCCGTTGACGCCCGGCTGCCGAGTGGCGTGAGCTGGAGTCCAGGTTGTGCATGGGGTTCCCGGTGGCAGTGAGCAGCGGTATCCCCTCAAGCGTCTTGCGCGCCGTCGAGCGCCGGCCTCGCCATGAGTTTCCCGCGGCCGCTGCGCAGAGCCGTCAGTTTGACCCCCGCGCGGACTCTCCGGCTGGTGGTGCTGGGGCAAGGCGCCGTGGGCAAAACAGGTACCCATCCTTACCTTCGGGGGCGGGAAAGTCTGGAGCTGCCGTGCTGTTTCCCTATTCAAATCCCGATGCTTCCTTCCCAAAAGTCAGGTAACCCGCCTCTGCCCTCCAGGTCGAGGCGTCAGTTACCAAAGTCCTGCGGTTCTCTCTCCCTTCGTCTCCCCTCGGGAGAAATCGCTGTCTCCTGTCCTGTCAAAAGTGGAACTGCTCCGCCGTAGCATATTTGACCTTACCAGCGGGAAGCCACTTCCCATCGCCAATTTATTCGGAGATTTTTTTCAAAGCGAAAACTTCGTACTTGGCGTGGTCGTCCAAGGATCAGTTAGTATGCCGGGTGGGTGGTGCGGTTTGGGGGTTAGAAAAGGAGAGGAAGCGCTGAACTCTGGCTACCCGTGGGAGAACGAGGGAGGGGCGGGGGCGGATATGTGGACCCTTCCTGCTTGATCCAACTCAGAAACTCGTGTAGTGCTGCAACATCATTGTTCTACCGTGAGCAGTTGTACGAAGTGAACACTCAGGTCTCCAAGTATAGTGCTGGAGTTGCCTTCCAGGAAAAAAAAATGCATCTGTTTTTCAGTTAGATAGGGGAGCATTGCCTCTATTTGTTCTTTACTGTTTTATTCAATTTCTCAAAATCCACAAGCCTTCAATAACCCACTGCTTGACTAGTGTAGAAGCTCTTTAATTCAACATCTGTGTTGAAATTTGAGAAGAGTCTGCTAGTGCTTTTTGAATTAACAGACTTATTTAAGACCTGAGCTTTTATGCCATTTTATGCCTATATCTGTGTTGAATTATTTTGACAATACCTTTCCCTTTTTGTTGGGAAAGTAAAATGTTCCCAATGGAATCAGACCTGGGGTGGCTTTCTCCAGCACTCTGGATCAGAAATTCAGGCAAAAGAAGTTACACACAGGTAACAAAACACAGGTTTTGTTCACAAGTGATTTATGAGTCGCCTGCGTACCTGTGGCTTTGTCAATCCTGTTTTATTTGCTTTTATTAATAGGGCTTACATCCTGCTGTCCCATGAATCTTAATTTTAGTGTGTGACAAGAACTTCAACCCAGATCTCCCAGGCTGAAATCAAAGAGAGTGCCAGCTGCTCATGCTAGTTCTTGTTTTACATTTGTCATATTGAGGCTTCTATTCCCAATTTTCTTTTTAACTGTGGAGGAAATTAAAAGTTAGACCTGTTGCATAGTTGCATTCTCCACTGATATAATTTGCCACCAAACTTCTTCCCCGAAGTATTTAAATCATACTTGTTGATCTGTATCTGCAAAGGAAGGAAAAAGACCATTGTTTTCATATTTATTTGGGGAAGGGTTTAAATATGGGAAGTCTATATTTGGCTCCAGTCTTGTCCATAGTATGTCTTTTTATCTAACCAACTCTTCATCCAAAATATACCCCAACAGCCTTTGCAAACTGAAAGAAAGTAAAAGGATTGTTTAAAAGGGAATAGAACAGGCTAACAAAAATCAAGGAGATAAAAAGCAGGAATGTACTTTGGGGGGGGGGGGGCTGAAGGTCCTGGTAATTTTCTTTTAATAGGGGGCTCATTTGTGTTGCTGCAAAAAGGTAAATTAAAATATGAAGTGCAGTTATCCTAATCCTAGTCTTCCTTCACTTAGAGCATTTATTTATTTATT